CTGCCAGGGAGCCAGGTGCAGCTGGGCCTGGCTGCCTCCCGGGACAACTGGCCATGGGCAAATACCTACACTTCCCCCCTCGATCTGTGTGGCTGTTGGTCATTTTTAAATGCCTGTATTTGTAGTTTTTTGTCTTTCCCTTTCCCTCCTTGGGTTTGTGCGTCGCCCTGAGTCCCGCTGGGAATAGGGCGGCATATAAATAAAACGAAACCTAAACCTAAACCTAATAAGCTATTTGCCGACATGACACCACATACCCATCTACTGGCCAATAGTTGTGTGTTTTTTTTTAACAAGTACAGTATAACACAACTTAGAAACATATTTAACTCTAACAAGTCTTCAGAAAGACAACAACAGAAGGAAACAAAAAAGAGAGCTACCTAATTAATTAAAAGATTAATCAAGAAAAAGGCTAAATGGCAATTTAGTGAGGATGCTGGTGAAAGAAAACTCACCAAGCTAACAACAAAAACAGCACCCAAGTATCAAAGCAGAGAGAATCGGGAAACCGTGGACAGATCAAGATGATAAAAGCGTCCTTACAGTACAGGGATTAGCCACTCCACATACAGCAATGGCCTACTTAATTCTGTTAAAAATCATGCATTGTCAGCCGTCTTAATCATAATTTCCTATGTTATTAAGCGATGTTAGCCTGTTGCAGAAAAAAATGTGCAATATTCTATTGTCGGGTGCAAAAGACCAGATCAACCTGTGAAGGTTCAATTGAACTTATTTATTGCTAAAAGCCTAATCACAGGAATCTTCTCAACTAATGCTGGGCACTTTAGAATTAGATAGGGGTCAACAGCACACAAAAGGGGTTGGGTTTAGTTCTCTTGTGGCCATGTATAGATTCCAGGCTGATCCCCCTTTTCACTCCACCTCCAGGTTCTGCCATTGCTTTACCTACATCTATCCTTTTAAAAGCTAAGAAATTTATCATGATATACATCTTCATGGACAGGGTTTAATTATTCTCCTTTAATAGATAAGTAGAAATAAAAACAAAAATAAAGTCAGTGACAGCTTTATTATCTAAATATTTGGAAAGCACAATATTCCAAAGAAGATACTAAGCTATGAATAATGGTACCTCCCATTTTACTTTTTATCCTTTTCCAAGTCTTTCCAGAACTGAGCTCACATTTTTAATGACCTTTCTACTGCAATGAAAATCTAACTTCCGTTGATCTCTTTCCATCCTATCAGCAAACATTCAAAGTATGGAATAGTTATTCCAATCTGCATCTGCGTTAATTCATACTAAATCCATTTTTGGAGATTTAAAATAATTCTTTTGGAGCTCTCTACGTTGAAGGTTCTATCTTCTGAATTCGAATAAAGAATGGACTGAAGGAAGAACACTTAATCCTCTTTAGAGGAATAAAAAAAACTTCAGCTACAATTGTCTCGCTTCTAAGAAAATTTCATTGTCATGTTTCCAGACATTGTTGATTCGATTTAGCCGAGATAATTTTCAGATCACTTAGGAATTGCTTCATGTGTTCCCAATATGCAGATAGCTCAAAGTCAGAATTAACTGGTTGTTTGGCAGCCTCAAAGCAGTTACAGAATTGCAATTAGAAACAGGCAGAAAAATCAACTGTTTCTTTTCATTTGCTCCTTCCTAATATGTTAATTAAAGCAATTTTTCTCAACACACTAGGTATAGCTTGCTTAGCTTTCCAATAGATGGAAAGTACCAACATTCAATTCATACTGGGCAACAGTACTAAATCCCAACTGAGTTTGTGGGCAAGAAGCAAAGGAGCAAGTGAATAAAACATATAAGGATAAGCATATAGTTAAAATAAAATCCAACCTTTAGCCGGTGAGAACTGCTGAGGCATGTGAGGATCAGAAGAAAGCTCCAATGGAAATTGCAGCTGTTCTTCATTGTCTGTGGAAGCTTGAAATAATAAAGTGGTAGATAAATATTGATGTTTCCATTAAAACGCAGATGTCCTGAAATCATAGCACCCACAATGGCAAAGAATGAATGGGTACATTCTCAAATGTTTTTTTTTTTACCTCTTTGTAGGTTTTTTTCTACAGCTTTAGTGGTTTGCAAAGCCTGGTGTTTATCAAAGGTTATTGCAACAGCCGTAACAGTGACCTGTAATTAAAAACATTTAACTGTCAGTTTTTTCATTCATTCATTTATTCATTCATTCCAATTTGCCTTTAGCTTAGAAATACGCATCTGTACACCAACACACATACAAACACACACAGGATATGCGTGCATACACCCACGTAAAAAATTGTTGCATGCTTGAAATATATCCCACACAGCATCACGATGTTACAATGAAAAGTTAATGTTCATAATCTTGTCTTTGATAAATCTCTTCAGATTTAGATCAGAAATCACTAGGAGGCTAGGTATCGTATTTCCCTGAAAATAAGACCCTTATAATTTTTTTTGCCACCAGGAAAGGCACCAGGTCTTATTTTCCGGGGGGGTGGTGTCATCCACTGACTCACCTCACTTGCGCGCATCACCCCTGGCCTCCTTTTCCGTGTTAGAGGCCTTCAGGAACTTCTTCTGTGGCTGGCAAGGCTTTCCCGAAGGCCTCTGCAACTGAAGGCCTCTTCAACCGGATCGATCCAGAGCTCTGTTATCAGCTGCAGAGGCCTTCAGAAAAGCCTTGCCACCTGCAGAACACATGGGCCAGCAAGGCAGGTGTTGGGGTGTGCGAGACCTGGCTGCAACAATCTGTTGTGGCCTGCCAACAGCCACCGCAGCTGGCATCAGATTCGGACAGTGAGGAGGTTGGGGAGGAAGATGGGCCAATCCTGGAGTCTGGGGAAGGCTCTGATGAGAGCTCTGTGTTGGAGGCAGAGAGAGGGCCAGAGCCGTCTGACAGTTATCAGCTGCCTTCAGAGTCAGACATCAGTGAGGCAGATGAACAGCTGGAGCCTGTTCCCAGTGTGCGCATTTGCAGTTGCCAGACGAAGGGAACAGCTAAAGAGCAGGGGTCGACTTGGGAGTAAGGCCACAGGTGGACGATGAATGGCCCTTCCCAGAGGAAATAAAAGAGGAGCGTCAGGGGAGTGGAGTTTGCAGGAGACAATTAGTTTGCTTAATTGGTTCGTGACTCTCCAAGACTCCTTCACATGTTTTGCAGATATCGGCCTGGCAGCTGTCCAAGCCAGATAAGGTCTGTGACTGTAAATCCTCCCTTGAAAGACTTTGCTGGATGTGAATGAATAGAATTCACAGTACATTAATAAAAGGTTTTTTTTGTCAGGACAAGGAGTTTGTTTCATGCTCTTGGGAAGCCTCGGTCAGAACACAGTCCAAGGGAAAGTAATAGGGAAGCTCCACTCTAGCTTAATTTTTACCTGTGTACCCTGGAGTAGGCGGGGTCTTAATTAGGACTTATTTGGGGGGTAGTGCTTATATTGGGCCATGTGTAAAAATCAAGGTAGGACTTACTTTTGGGGTAGGTTGTATTTTCGGGGAAACACAGTCGGTTTCCCGAAAACAGATCCAATTTGATCAATGTTACTTTCCTACAGTTCTGTCATGATTCAGAATAATGTAAACGCTACAGAATGTAAATGGAAATAAGAGAACAGGCTTACCTGAATTAATTCATCTTCTGGAAGAGCAACAGTAAAGTTGACGTGGCACAAGCAACAAGGGATCATCGAACGGAGTTTAAAATAAAGACTCTGTGAAATATAAGAAATGACTAATAACTTCCGTCTTCTTTTGGGGGGCACCGGCAAGCATTTACAAATTTAAGAAGCATTTTCTGAGCCGAAGTGGTGCAGTGGTTAAATGCAACACTGCAGGCTACTTCAGCTGACTGCAGTTCTGCAGTTCGGCTGTTCAAATCTCACCGGCTCGGGGTTGACTCAGCCTTCCATCCTTCCGAGGTGGGTAAAATGAGAACCCGGATTGTTGTTGGAGGCAATATGCTGACTCTGTAAACCGCTTAGAGAGGGCTGAAAGCTCTATGAAGCGGTATATAAGTCTAACTGCTATTGCTATTGCTATTTTCGGCATAGAAGCAAAATGACTCTCGTTCGGAAAATTCCACTCGGTCAATGGGCATCAGGGTGACTTGGTCGGTCATAAATTAGTGAGAATGGCAAGTTAGAAGCCTCCAAACTCTATGCTGTACATTTTTCTTTGAAGTTTCTAAATGTGCGGTTAGCTTCCCAAAATGATGAGAATGAGATGGATGGCTACGGAAACTGTTTAAATGCATAAAATAATAAAAAAAAACAAATACAAACCCATTTCTTTGAACCTCCAGGTTTCTGCTCAATAAAGCCTTTTGCAAAAAGATAAATGGAAGTAGCTAAAATTGGTGTCTCTCGTATCTAATACATGCAGTTTTGCTCATTTTACCCCTTAAAAACCAGGCAGTTGTCTCTCAAATGTTAAGGCACCAATTTCACTGCTTCAATTCACCCCCTAAAAATTAAGGATGAAAATACACTGTTGGCCTTGCCCTTTGGGAACCTCAAAACAACCCACATGGCCCTCAGTGGCATCAAACTGTTCTTTTTAGAAATACAGTCTCTGAATGCAGGCACGTTGCCGAGCAACACACGAGTCTTCCTTCTGCTCAGCCCCCCTCCCTGCCACGTCACTGTTTGTCTTTGTGTGTGGCTTTGAGTCATTGTTGATTCCTGGAAACTGCAGGTAGTCCTCAATTTATAACCATTGATCTAGCAACCCTGAAAGTTATAACAGCTCTTTAAAAATGACTTTTTGTCTAGTCCTTGCACTTAGGGCCCCCACAGTCATGAGACCCAAATTTGGGCACTTGGCAACTGACATGAAGTTACAAGAGTTGCAATGTTCTTGTGGAGCATATGATCACCATTTGTAACCTTCCCAGCTGGCAAAGTTAATGGGGAAAGACAGATTTGCTTAACAAGCATGTGATTCGCTCAACAACCGTGGCAAAAAATGGTCATAAAATCGGATGTGACTCATTTAACAATCACCCCGCTTAGCAACGGAAATTCTGATCCCACTTAGGGTCAGTTATTCAGTTTTCCTGGCAATATTTCAGATGTTGTTTGCCATTGTTTTCTTCTTCCTAGGTCTGAGAGGGAGTGACTGGCCCAAGGTCACCCAACTGGGGTGCCAAGGAGGGACTAGAACTCATGGTTTCCCATTTTACAGCTTGTAGCCTTAAACACTAAACTAAACTGGCTCTCTGTTCATTTCATTATCTCCCCAAATTCCCAGGTGTATTAGATAACAACATTCTCTTTTTAAAAAGGTTCAGATTTCCAGGAATCCGAGTTCTGGTTGCATAATGCTTTCTTATGTCTTCTGAAGAATGTTCTTCATAAACTTTCAAGTCATGTTGTGAGTGGAAAGACGTCAACCAGAGTTTGGAGCTCTGATCCACCCACCCA